ATAATAGATTCAGTAATATCATTATACACATTTTTTTGTTTGCTCATAGAACTTTGATTTATAATTAGACGAACTTCATCGACCTTATTATGTAGCAAAATTCTTGTAAATTCAGAACTGACAAATTAATATCATTATACTCATATTCTTGGAGCTGAAATTTTGTGTTTTACTTCTACATTTCTACATTTCTACATTGATACTTGAGTGTGAAGGTTTTCGTATTCTCCCTAAATAGAATACGTGGTGCCCAATTTTTGTTTTTTGATTTCATTTCTTTAATTTTGATCTTCCTTATGAGGATATAGTTAAGGAGAAATTCTATATCCTTGCCACTCAAACTATCAATGAGTCAGATGCCCTACGACCCTATTCAAGAGTCTCATATAGAAAGGTAACAAACTTTGTTATTTCAAATGGAACACCTTGTATTTTATTGCATTTTTAGATTCTCCCCGAAAATCTGATTTCATCAATGCATCACACTTGGCGTCTAGCTGTAATGGTTTCAGGGATATAAAGTGTTCAAAATCGAGATTTTTCAACTTTAACATTTTTTTGTGTCGAAACTAATCATTATTGGTCAAAACGACTCCCATGTCCCTATCTCAACTTGTGATTCACTATCTACTAACATTTAATTGGAACAGATACAGGGTGATCAGAATTCTGAATCTTGAACCACCCTGTATTTGTTTCAAATAAATGTCATCAGATAGTAAATCACAAGACTAAGACTGCTGAACGAGCAAGAAGATACAAGGCAAACTCATCATCAGACGTGGTGTTTGATAATAAAATAACTCTCAACACCATACTTCAGGATAAAATTCCTGGCCAATTTGGGGAACAAGGACCAATAATGCGTGAAGCTGCTCGGCAGTGACATGCAAGCGTCAAACATAGCCACTGAAGATGCTGACAGGTTGATAGTTGCCACAGCTGAATGTCTGTCCCCCACGAACGACGCCGTCATCATTGCCGGAGAAGACATTGACCTACTCGTCCTGCTGATTGGCACAAAACCTGCGGTGAACAATGTCTACCTCAAAAAACAAGCGAGAGGATAATATCCAGACGCAATCTACTCCGCATCCTCCTACAAGTACAACTCCGCAAGACGCTAAAGATTCGATCCCCTTCAACTTCAACTTATAATATTGATTGTACATTAGATTTAAATCACGATTCATCGATTAAAAAAGGTTTGGATGGATTTCATCCCTCAGTAGTCTTCCCCATTGAACAAATATTCGATAGGCACCTGATAGTGATTTCGACCTCGATTGTTCCACGATATTGATATCGAATCCGGTGATTTTGTTCTGGTCAAATTTCCTACCAAAACAATCATACTTCACTATGTAGGTCGTTTGGAGAAGAAATATGAAGGAACATCAGAAAGTATGTTCGAAGAAAGAGACACGGATTCGATTAGGGTGCCGAATATCAGCAGTGTCCCAGAGAATAATTTCCTCAAATTACCTCCTCCTTCGAAGACTGGTGGCAGTGAAACATTACCTATTTTCGATTTTTCACTTTGGAATTGATCCCAACAAATTATTCTCAAATCTGAGATTTTTTTTCCTCCTATGTACGGAGTATATTTCATAGCATAAGTATCAATGAACCATTTTTCGAGTTGTCTGACTTGTCTGTTTTATCTAAATATTGGAGAATTGGGGCATTTTGGACCACCCTGAGATTTTCCGAATATTGTTTTTTTTGTGCATCTCAAGAACCATGTTGTTATCGGAAATGGTAGTCGTGACATGATTGTATGCGACTTCCCTACTGAAATAACTATAAGAGAAGTTTCAGAGTGATGAATATTGATAATGCCATATATTTTAAAGTTGCGACTGTGAAAAAGTCTGAAGGAATTGGAATACTTTACAGCAACTCTTGATCAGACTATTCTACAGTTTCGTTTCTAGATTAGAACCTCATTTACAGATTCAAATCACTTATTATGAAGTACAGTAAATTATGTGAAACAGAAATCATATTATGGCTTGGCAGTTCTAGACCGTTGTTCACCATAACTTATTTTTCCTCAATCTGATCATTTAAGTCAATGCAGCCGATTTCCTTCCTACCATTTCTCAAAAAATCTGGACAGTCATTAATTTCTTTATGGTTTATCGATTGGGCAACCGACCACGACATGAGATCAGAATAGAACGCTCTAAGAATAAAAAGCGTCTGATTTGATGGATATCCGTCGAAAAACTGGAAGTAGAAGACAAGCTGGATTTGCAATGATTAATGAAACTGGTCATTAGTATATACAGTGTCTTTCATAAAGTTGGCATCTAATAGGAAAAACGTTTAGTAATAATTTAATTTGAAATTCGACTTGGGCGTTAAGTTTTGCATTAAAAAATATGGCCTACTCTGCCAGGTTCACGTGACTTTTGCTACATGTCAGAAAATAAGATAAATTGTTTGGATTTCCAGAATGATTACTGAGAGAAGTTGTTTCTATGGCAATTTGAACGTTCTATATCATTGCAAGTCTTGAATTTGATATTTTCAGTTCCAGACAGTACCGCATTTAGTATCCAGTTCTGGGAGTGGGGTAAATGTTATTGAAGTTACAATGTTTTTTATATTACAGCGTAAAATAAAAAGAATATCAGGAACTAAAAGTTTCAACAGAACGAACAAATTGATGTGAAATGTGATGGAAACAACTTTTTTCTATAAACTTTTTTCGAAATCATTGACATTTAGCGAAAGTCACGTGACCCCGACCGAGTAATTTTCTATCTTTTTCGGAGCAAAACTGAATGCTCTAGTCAAATTTCGAAATTGATTATTTCTAAAAGTATTTCTACGAAGGTGCGAAGACGTTGTGGAGGGCCAGCGCAATTATTTTTTATAATTCCGATTTTTTATCTTGGAATTATTTATTCCGACTCATTAGTAGTAATTGTTTCACATCAATCTTCTTTGTAGTGTAGAACATTCAATTGAGCTGAAGATGGTCTTATATAAGACCGAAACATGTCCCTTATGTTTGCATGTGTAACAACACCATTAAAATTTTTGGAGATGAATTCAAGCATTCCTTCCTTATTCCTTTGGAAAATTTCGCTCCACTAAAAAATATGGACTTCTACCAAAGATTAACAGCCAAATTTGCCTACCCTATTACTTCACTCAATGAACGCCCAAATGGGGTGGTGTAGAGGAAGGACAATGAGAGGACAGAATTTTTAAAAATTGCTTTTTTATCTAGCGTATCTTGACAGCTCAATCTCAAGGTTTTCACCAAAGTCTTCGACGAATAAACAAAGGATTCAATTACTTTCAAAATTTTGTGTCAGATATGTATTTTTTGAATATAAACATATATGTATAGTGTGTCTCGCTTCTGATGGAAGCACCCCTGTATCTTACCGAAAATACATACTATGACCAAGTGGAGTCATCTTCAGTGATATACAGTGCTCGCCAATAGCCATGGAACAACCCACAATTCTGGAAAATGATATTAGGAGGAAAGATAGGTTGAAAATCACTTCGGATTCGAAATGAGGAGATCCAATTCACTAACTATTCATATTTTTTCTGAGAAATTTTCAGTTCTGAAAAATTGATATACATAATTCGCTAGCGAATATCTTGATAACTATATATTAAAGATAGGGAAAAACCTACTGAACAATTTTGTAGATAATATCAAATCGAATGACTATCTTGCTGTGAGGTAGCGTTCTTGAGATATGAACACATTGTAAGTTCGGGGACTAGGTCAAAAATTCTGTCCTTTTCCATTTCCCCTACAACCCTTTCATTGACAATGAAAGTTCTATAGTAATGCCAGTCTGTGCGTAAGTCCGGTCCTGTATAGGAAACTTGCATTTTTAGCGACCCTTTGTTAGATATTATATATTGATGTCCCGGAGCCTACACGGATATCCAATTATTATTCACGTCAAGCTGAAACATGGCTGAAACCCTCAACCCTTGTGAGTACATTCAGTATAGTGGATCATCAAGGAATTGTTCTAGGTTATTGAGGTTTATTATATAGGCTTGACGGCTTGAAAATAGTAATTTACGTAACGAGTCAAGAAAAAACATTTTCTGATCGTGCTGCGTACACAATTTTTTCGGCAACTAAAAGCGAGTTTCTTTATGATCTCTAGCATGTCTCACTTTAGACGGCCCCTCCTCTATATCTCAACCATTCTCGAATATTCGTATCGAATATTGACTGGTATATAAATAACCATCAATATATGACCAGTTTTCGAATCTCCTGATGCCAAAATTCTCCTCATGCTCAAAAATATGAAATAATGTCATAGTAGTTTTCTATTCACTTCCTGAATCAACAAATAGGAAAAAAACTTTTGGTGAGGAATGATTTTGTTAACACTTGTTACACTATCGATCTAAATTATATAAATGATAATATGTAGCTCTGTGATCACAAATCATCATTATTTTCAGAGGAGTAGGTACAATCAACTACAATCAACTACAATCACTACAGAAACAATGATATAACATAGTAATATGAGTATGTTTTGACTATTCTGAGCTATGCAATGTTTCAACTCTGAATCACTGATAATATTTCACTGTTCAAAACTGTAGAGTCTTGATTCTTGTATCGAGTTATCAGAGTATGGAATTATATGGAGATGCAGTTTCCTTCAGTTCTATAGAGTAACTAGCACCATCTCTTGGTCAGTACTGAAACTTTCAGTGGTTACAGTATAGCACGTGAAAGCTAACATAATGATGAATCAGATAGCGTATACAACTCAAAATGGTAATTTTTCGAGTTGTTACACCATTGAACTCGGGTATCGAATTGACTGCACATTTCGATGTCTCTCATAATTTGATGGTTATTCATATACCGGTTCGAATTTGGTAAAGATCGCACGACTAATAACTGCGATTTGAAGGGGCAGCCGTTTGAAATGAGACACGCTGTATATGCCGTATATTATTTGACAAATAAAACATTGTTTCCTCAGTGTATCTGATGGCTCCCAAGATGCCGAATTCCGACAGATTGAGAAGGTTCACTAGATTCTCCATCAGCGTCGAGTCAACAAGCAACCGCACGGATTTTCCTCAGAATGTCGGCAGCTTCCAATTGCTCGGTGATGAGATCGCCAGCTTCAACGAGGAGTGCATCAACACTGTTTCCGAAGTGAATACGAGTCCTAAAAGCGAGGTTCTCTTCCTTTGGTCAGCTCCTCCACCTGGCTCGGGATGTGTCACTTTTAGGTAAAAATAATGATGACTATAGGTATGTCGTCCAAAAAATAGCTTTTTTTCTGTGACGGGAAAAAAGTTTGACATTTCATCTCTGTTGACAGGTTATAAAATGTCACTTTTCAAAAATTACTTTTTTCCCGTGGGAAAAAAGTGAGTACTTTTTTCCCGGATACACATAAGTATGGTAGATATTTAATTTAGAATATTTTATTAAACAAAAGTTACATTTCCTTTATATCAAAAGTACAATTATTGAATGTGCATTGCATGAATGACACGTTCCTTGAAGAACAGTAGAATTTTCTCGTGTTGAAATTATATTTCTTTTTGCCATGGACACAACTGCCGTTGATGTACCTGGTTGCGAATGAGGTGTTATTTCGGCAATGCCACAAGTTCTGAATACCTACTTCATTAGCTATTTCTGTTCTGTGTGATACCGATTCATCAACATATCCTCCATAGCGACCGTTGATGACTTCCAACCGCCATTTTTCTTCAGTGTCAGCAAATCTCCCCCACAGATTCAACTAAAAGTGTAGCAGACGATCTTCGAAATGAATGACCTATGAGGTAGCATTTTCAAGTTTTACAAAACTAGCTACTGTTTCAGGTACCTTATAATACTGATTTTTACCCACAACCTGATTGATACATTTTCCATTGCGATATGCATAAAACAGGCGGCGATCCTTTGCTGTTGCAGGGCTATGTATGTTCGGTAAAATTTAATATATTCTTCAGTAACTACAAATCTTCTGTTCACATCATTCTTTGTTTGCTTGATTTCCACAATGATTATCGTTCCTGAATCTTCAATATCATCTAATGTTACCTGGTTGATTTCACAAATTCGAAAAGCTCCTGCAATCCCGAATACAACAACAACTTTGGCCATTAAATAAACTTCATCAGGAGCATCATTTAAAAATTCGCCAATTTGTGTACTTGTGAAAATCGCTCGGATTGTAACATACTTTTAATCATTGAATAATTTGACCACACTGTTGATGGCTTTTGTTGCTGAGCCAGTTCAGAAAAATAGGCCAATACCACCGTTTCCCAGAAAGAACTTAGAAATCAACAAACTCAAAAATTTTGACACTTTACTTAACGATCAATTAGATCTCAATAATAGTTCACCACTGTTGAATTTGTTTTCTTAGTAGGTAATGATATGTATTTGCTATCAACCCTTTCAAGTTAATCCGGTACACCGTATTTCGATGTAAATATTGTGCCTAATTTCGGAAAATGAAGGTTTATCGAATCTGTCCACAGGTAACTAATCCTTCAGGTTGGGAAATTAGGATATATAAAAGTTAAGCAAACTGAGGTTGGTTAAGTTCATTGTACCAGTATATCACTGCACTTTTTGGTCCTGAGTTCATCAACCATTCGCAGAACCGCTAAAGCTTATCACAGGCTTTTTTTGAAACCGCGGAACAGATACTCTGCTCATGTGAAGTATTAGTCCGCCAAAGGCTGAACCACTTAGAACAGGTCTATCTCACTCCTGCTGAGGTGGAAAATTCAACCGTCAGGAAAATTGTAGGCTTCATCAGAAGTCTAGGGTTAGAGGACCAAAACTAGATAAGGGTAATCACAATAGATCTTCTAGGTCGCAGTGATCGAGAGGTCTCCCAGCCTATACGACCCATCTACAATCTACAATCTACATCTACCAGTATATCACCTGACGAAGCTACTGTGTTAGCGAAACATATTGTGTGTTTAAGAATTTTTTGGAAATCTTATCGTTTGTGAAGTTTTTACAAATATGTAACAGTTGATTGATATGGAAACAAATTCATGAGATGTGTTTGGAAATTATTTTTCCGACACTTTGTACATTGAGAACGAATGCCGTTACGAAAATTGTTTTTTCTAATTTTGACATGTAATGTGACACTGTTCAAAACTGACGGAAGTTTTGAAAGGTCTTACTTTTCGTAACCAGTTGCGTAAAGTAAAATTTTACATAACTGGTGATGTAATGTTCATTTCATTCATTCATTTCACACAACAAGAGTCGGCAGAACTCATGTAAAACTGGTCATTATTTTTGTTCATGCGAAATGTTTCGTCAAAATTAGAAAAAATATTGTACGTGACACGTTAGGAAACGCCATTTTGTGTAACTCTGTGATGTTGCGGGATCTCGCTTCGCTCGTCCCGCAAAATCCCATCGTTACACAAAACAACGCGTTTCCTAACTGATTACGTAAATATCTATTTCGTGAAAAACCAAGAAAAAAAACATTTTTAACTTCGATTTCATTAATTTTTGGTTGACCTAGAGGTCTTTCTGTATAGAAGTTACATAAGTGAAACATCGTATGGTATCGAATAGGCTATCCACTTAAAAAAAAAGCCTAATACCTAGTAATTTTTGGAATTTTGACCCATCAATCAAACAAAATTGATGATCCGGAACTTAATTTTTGGAACCTTATATGTAGGAAAGGATACATCTGGAATTTCTCACAGAAAAATCACCAGTTGACCTGGACAAAGGAAGGGTCATGACCCCCATGACCCCACCCCTGGATCTGCCCTTAGATGCCATCCATATAATATTATAGACTAATACAATATTTCAGAATCATGTTGATCATTCTCATTTTATGGAAACTGTAAATGTATTTGAAAATGGAATAGTAGATTATTTTTTCACTGAATGGAAGCTATACAGGGTGATTCACATAAGAACCGACATAGAGCAGGGGCATGTAGGGGGTCCCAAAATAAACGTACAACAAGAAAGTAGGTCATTAATTGTGATCAGTAGAAATTGGCTAGAAAATTATTATTTAGATACTTAACAAAATACGTAAAGTAAGGACAGATAGGTACTGAAATGTGAAAAACTGGGATTAACAACTAACCAAAATAAACACAAAAAACTTGAACAACAACCAGAACAAACAATTGTTCATCAATCAAATACTCAATTGAACAACTCACTTGCTTCATTGTCAAGTTTGACGTTTATTTTCATAGCCAACTTTTGAATTTTCGATGATTTTAAATAACACACCTAGAGCACGCGTTTTCAGTTATTCGAGTTTTTGATGAAAATGATGAGGTTTTTCGAGAAATTACTAGAATAAGAAAAGTTTTTAAATTGAATTTCCCACGAAACAAAGCGAAGATTTTAAAAATCCATCAAGGATTAACAAAATTCTGTTGAATATTAATGGTGCGCCACCCGGTATACCCCCTTTACAAATTCCAATTAAACTCTAGTTACTGTCAAGTAACGCCCTAAATACATCCACAAAGTGAACCAAATTTGGTTGCTTTAAGTTCAAGAATAACGGAGATATTGATTTTTTTCAAAATTTATAACTTCACTTTCAAAGCCTATAACTCCTTAGGGAAGCAACTTGGTATAGAGGTAAGTTGCGTTAAATTGCCATATTTTGGGACCTCCTACATGCCCCTGCTCTATGTCGGTTCTTATGTGAATCATCCTGTATTATAGGATCTATTCAACCAGAAATGACAATTCAAAACTTTGTTTTCTTTATTAACTGAACAGGGAAATTTTATTCACTTCAGTTCAGAGGACAGGAAATGGCCTAATTAAAATGAGAGCTTTTTCAGATTTATAAAAATAAAAGAATTCCGCAAACGTGACATTTCGCTTGGACAAGAAATGAGCTTTGGCGCTTCCATCGATAATGAAAGAAAAACAAAGTTGCAAGCATTTTCATTATTTCGACAAAAATTTTCGAGAGTGATTTCAGTCCAAAAAGCGTGCATTTTATTAATTCGAATTGAATAGTTAAGTGCTCAATTCAACATGAGAAGTGGTTCATTCACACAATTTTTCCACGCAAGGCTGGGCACTTAAACAAGGCAAAAAATCAACTTAGCTGTAACGAGAGAAAGCGAATAATATTCCAAAACCCACACAAATTTCAATAAAGAACTAGAACTAGAACTAGAAGGCTAGATATTATAAGTGCCGAATATAAGGTTCTAAGACCATTATCTGCTGACAATATCCGCGACACTATATCCGCAACGAAGAACATTGTACTAAATTGAAACAAAAATTTTATATTAAAACAAATATCATGATAATAAACCTCTGGATCCTCAAGACTAGGAAATTCTAGTGGAATTTTGATGCAATCACGGAAAAAAAGGATTTGTTACATCAACAAATTATTTATGCTTGAGTTATTTTTGTTGGACTGAGCAATTTTTTGTTGAATCAACCAGATACATGATTATTCTATGGAAGCAGCTTGTTCAAATCAAGAATGTAGTCTAATTGAATCAACAGTATAATATTAATTCCATCAACAAAATATCTGGTTTCTTCAAAAACAAATTATGTCGATCCAAAATAATGTCGATGTTGATTAAACTAAAAACATTTCGTTGATTTGATCAAACAATGATCATTTTGATGAGAATATATCTTTGAAACAACATAAAAGTTGTTTTATTCCGATGTATCAATGAACTCGTTTCGAACGGATCATTTGCTTGAATAGAGCAACGAAATATGTAATATCCATGGACGTATTTATACGTCCATGGTAATATCAATGAAATATTTTGTTCATTCTACATCAACCTAAATTTTCGCCTCTAGATGGCGTTCATTTCGCTTCGTCTATGCCTGCCTCGAGTTCATTATATACGTGAAGCCTGATTCTTCGTGTTTAAAATATCAGCTGGATAAGTCGAACTTAGGATGATTAGCAATCCGAAATAGTTTTCCATCAGCTAAAGAGAAGTAAAGACTAAAGATCTATTCTAGGAGTCGACTAGTTTCCTAGTTTTGTTTATTCGCTATTGATGTGAAATTTCAGAAAATTCCCGAATATTGAATTTGGTTCAACAAAACAATTTGTCGAATGGATATATAGTTTCTCTTGAATCAACAAAATATTTCATTGAATTAACCAAATATTTCATTGAATCAACCAAATATTTCATTGAATCAACCAAATATTTCTTTGAATCAACCAAATATCTCGTTGAATCAACTGAATATTTGATTGAATCAATATCTTGTTATTTTGAATCAAACAAGATGTTTGTTAGAGTCAATTCAATATCTCTTCATAAACAATTCATGGATGTGCTTGATTGAAGAAGATCCAGAGTTCATGCAAGACATATTTACTTGATTCAAACTTCAAATTCGCTCTGAAACAAGATATAGATTTACTCATTTCAAGATTATATTTTGTCGTGCATATATGACACTTTTATTTGCTCCATTCAATTAAATTTTGCTTGATTCAACAATTCCTTTATTTCTGTGAAGACATACTGTTTCGGCTTTCTAAGAAAACCATGAAGATATGCATTTTTATATTTTAGAATACGCTCTCTTCATTTGAAATATTTTCAGCAATGGTGTGTTGCCGCATCTATACTAGAAAGTTTTAGCAACATTGATATTCCAAATGGAATACCCTGTATTTTATGGCATTTTTAGATTCTCGATCCCTGCAGAGCTGATTTAATCGATATATCACACTTGGGGTCTATCGAAGAAGATAGGGTAGATTTTTCAACTATAGGATTTTTTTGTGTAGAAACTATTCATTATCCGTCAAAACGGCTCACATGCTCCAATCTCAACTTTTGATTCACTATTTAATGATATTTGATCAGAACCCTGATTAAAAAAATCTTTGAAGTTTCACTCTTTGTAACCTGATGTACGTCTGCACAAATTTCAATAAAGAACTCACTATCATTAAACAGATTGCAGCCAACAACGGATAGGTACAACGTTAATTTGATAGACAGTATTCTTTCTGAAAAACTGCATAATAAAGCTATTCAAGAAGTTTATCCTACCATCAAGAATAATTGTAACAAATTTCGGATCATCAACTGAAAAATTAGCTTCATTTCTACATCAACAGGACTTGAAGGTAGCATATTGAACAAATAACACGTTGGGAAGGTTTATCAAAAATAATAAAGACAAACCTTCTAAATTCGAAAAATCAGCGGTCTGTGGATCTTGTCCTGAGGTACAGTCGTATTAAAGCGTTCAAGTATATTGGAGGGAGAAATCAACGTCGAAATCTCCTATGTTTAATACTTGTACGCTTTTTTATTGAATACGACTGTATACAGGATGTTAAAAAATAACGTTAGATTCCTCATGAAATAAGAAACATTTTTTTCCCTTTCGAAATTTTTCTCCGGGCCTCCGTTTTCAAGATACAGGGCGTCAGAAGAATACAAAAAAGTCTGTTTTTTGCTACTATCTTAGGAACCGTTTGAGCTACGGAGTACACACTTCATCATCAATAATGACTACTTTTAGGGATCTTGATCAATTTCCTTGGACATGCCAGTGAAGAAGAATTCAACGCCTTGTAAGGGTTTAACCCCCCAAACATTCAAGCCACTGAAGAAATTTTCAAAGTAGATTCTGAAGCGCCAATATCTTTCACACAAAAATTGCCCTCTTGACTCAATGCTCTAAAGTGAACAGTTTCCGTGAAAAATGGCTCTTTATGAATGAGAACATACAAAATCCTGATGGTATCTCCAAAAATCGTCTAAAAATCCACTGGAAATAAACACCTCAGAACTGTCTAATAATATGTTCAATCAAATGTCAGGTATGCTGGTATCGATGCTGGTTTTCAAATTGTTGAGTTTATTAGGTGTTGTAAAGTGTGTTTAATTAAACTGAATATTTTTGATCATTGGACAGAATATTCTGAAATAAGTATATTTGAACTGTGCTGTCTGGGTAGAAGGTCACTGTTCCTAGCCTCAGAGAATAGACAAAATTGTATTTCGAGTAAAACTTTCTCATTAGTATTTTAGTTTAGTATAGTCTAGTTATAGTTTCTTTCTCACATACGATTTTTTATAGAGCAATGATCCTGGAAGATGCAGCTCACTGGTACTCTGAGGATGGAAAACTGAGCAAAACTTTCTGTGAGCAAACTGAGAAAGATGTCAAGTTCGACGAAGAAAACGATTGTTGTGCATGTGATGAAGCTAAGTATAATGTACGTTGGGGAACATTGAAAAAAATGTACCTGAAACACTCAAATTAAGATAAACATTTTCTTCGAATAAATTGGGAAGTATATGAGTAAACATGAATCTATGAATCAAATTAAATTCGGTCTTTTTTCATTGGCCAGTATAGTATTCTAGCAGATACTGATATTAAACACTTTTCCGTAGATAAGTAACAATATTTTCATGAAGTATATAAAAACAACCCTTCTTCTGCCCTTCAGTGTGAAGTAGGCTGGATATTATTAGTGCCGAATATAAGGTTCTAAGACCATTATCTGCTGACAATATCCCTGACACGACGCGACAACGAAGAAAATTGTATTAAATTAAAACAAAAATTTTATATTAAAACGAATATCATGATAATGAACCTCTGGATCCCCAAGACTAGGAAATTTTAGTGGAATTTTGATGCAAGACATACTGTTTCGGCTTTCTAAGCCTCTTCAGTTGCACAAGGGCTGCAGGCAATCAATTCACGGAGGTTGCTCCAATATACAGGGTATGTCACGACGAGCTTACACTATCTCTATATCGAGAATCAGTCATGAGAAATCCATGAAAATATGCATTTTTATATTTTAGAATACGCTTTCCTCATTTAAAATATTTTCAGCAATGCAGTGTTGCCGCTTCTACTAGAAAGTTTTAGCAACATTGATATTTCAAATGAAACAACCTGTATTTTATCACATTTTCAAATTCTCCCTGAAGAGCTGATTCAATCGATATATCACACTTGGGGTCTATCAGAAAAGATAGGGTAGGTTTTTCAACTATAGGATTTTTTTGTGTCGAAACTATTCATTATTGGTCAAAACGGCTCACATGCTCCAATCTCAAGGGTGGTTCAAGATTCAGAATTTTGATCAACCTGTATCTGTTCCGATTGAATATCAGTAAATAGTAAATCAAAAGTTGAGATAGATACATGTGAGCCGTTTTGGCTGATAATAAATAGTTTCGACACAAACAAATCCTAAAGTTGAAAAATCTCGATTTTGAACAACCTATATCTCTGTAATCATTTTCGATAGACCCCAAGTGTGATGTATCGGTGGAATCAGCTCTTCAGGGATCTAAAAATGCAAAAAAAAACAGAGTATTCTATTTGGAATAACAAAGCTGTTGCTACTTTTTTATAGAAGCAACACTGCATTGCTGAAAATATCTTGAATGAAAATAGCGTATCCAAAAATATAAGCATGCATATTTTCATGGATTTTTCCCGACTGATTCTCGATATAGAGATAGTGTAAGCTCGTCGTGACATACCCTGTATATGCATAGAGTCAATACCAACGGGCAGAAGGACGATCTATAACCTTCTAAACAATCTAACCTAACAAGGCCTAAATTTAGTTTCCTATATTTTTCGGAAGATTACTCGCGAACAAAAAAGTCCCACAGCTCCCTGCTCCATTCGCTCACTAGAAATTATTTCTATAAAGAATACATTGCCTCTCGCAGATATCGCGTGTTGGCAGATTTCAAGGTCATCAGTTGATGTTTTGATGACATTTAGCAATAGGAAAATCATGTCTGAGTTCTGTGACGCATATACTGTCGCGCGGATTGTGGCAGGAAATGTGAAGCGGCTTTCATATAGGATATGTTCCGTTAATCAACCGAGGTTTCCGATGCTTTCAGGGCCAGTACCAACAATTTTGACAGTTCAAAATCGAGATTTTTCTACTTTAGGAACTATTAGCGGAAATCATTTGTCCTCGACCTAGTAGATAACTTTCCATCTTTTCCAAAACAAAACTGAACGCCCAAGTCGAATTTTCAAATAAATTATCTTTAGAAGTTTCTCAAATATAATGCCAAATTTCTGAAAGATACTGTATATATGATTCCAGCTTGTCTTCGAAGGGATCTGGTCAAGCAGGACCCACCCCAAGGACTACCCTACCCTGCTGTGGCTCACCCACTTCTCCGACGTGATCGGAGCCTCGCACGAGAGGAACTTCAGCTTCTGGGGCGAGGGCCAGATAGCCTCAGAGGGCTTCCGGAGCCTCGCTGAGTGGGGTTCGGTGAGGCTAATGGAGACCGAGCTCAGAGCGAAGAGCAAGTTCCTGCGCACGATCATCAAGGCTGCCGGGCTGTGGCACCCGAATGTCAATACTAACACGAGCACCAGCTTCAAGGTTGACAGGAGGCACCATTTGATTTCTTTAGCTTCGATGTTTGGTGAGTTGCGCTTTATTGATCTGTGATTCAATACAAAATCAAGCCTTGATATGGAATAATTATATCCAATGGCATTACCAGCTCCAAGGTTCACGAGAGGCATCATTTGATTTGCTCCTGCCACTATTTGATTTCTTTAGCTTCTATGTTTGGTGAGTTACGCTTTGACGTATCGAAACTACATGCGAATTGTTCAATTGTAAGAAGATCACTGACATCAGTGAAAAACTGTGGCTTGATCCACGATAGTTAAATCTTAATGTATTGGGTATTCGTATTCAACGTCCTCCAGCTATAAATAGTGCCTAGAGTCGGTTTTAACTTTCTTATGTTGATATCTGATGAAGGCCGAGCTCAGGGCGATGAACAAGTTGCTGCAGACGATCATCAAGGCTGCCAGGCTGTGGCACTCGAATGTGCTTCAAGCTTCAAGGATAACAGGAGGCATCATATGATTTCTCTTGCTTCGATGTTTCGTGAGTTGCGATTATTAACATGTGGTTCGATCAAAAATTGTGCCTTGATACGGAATAGTTATATCATGAAGTATATTAGATAGTGGTATTCAGAGTCCTTCAGCTATATCGGTAGTGCCAAAAGTCGATAGAAAACTTTCTTATTTCGAAAACTGATAGGCTGCTATGCTGTGGCACCCAGATGTCAATACTAACACGAGCGCCAGCTTCTTCAAGGTTGACAGGAGCCATCATTTGATTTCTTTAGTTTCGATGTTTCGTGGGTTGCGATTTATTAACATGTGGTTCAATAAAAAATTGTGCCTTAATACGGAATAGTTATACCATGAAGTATTAGATAGTAGAATCCAAAGTCCTTCAGCTATATCAGTAGTGCCAAAAGTCGGTTCAAACATTCTTATTTTGAACACTGATTGAGACCGAGCTCAGGGCGATGAACAAGTTCCTGCGGATGATCATCATGACTGCCTGACTGTGGCTCCCGAATGTCAATACTAGCACGAGCGCTAGCTTCAAGGTTGACAGGAGGCATCATTTGATTTCTTAAGCTTCGATGTTTGGTGAGGTTGCGCTTTGACGTATTGTTGATGCTACAAGCATATAAACGGCTGGTCAAATGAACCGCATCAAGCACTTTTTTGCACTGAATTCAACATTGAATATTTTTACAAAAATTCACATATTCGGATTCGTTTTTTTTTCAATATCGAACATTTCGACAGATAGACCCAAAATTTTCCATTAAATTGGGAGCATGGAGAATTTTTCAATATTCTGCAGTGCAGAGGTTTGTTCGTCCTCCTGTATATAGACAGATGTCACCATGTATTTCTTTCGGCGATCTATCTGTCATATACCTAATGGATTCATCTTCAAAATAAAAAAAAACGCATCCGAATATGTGGCATATTCGTGAAAATATCCAGAGTTGAATTTTGGGTAAAAATGTGATTGATGCGGTTCAAATGATCAGCAGTTCAGATAATTATTATATCTGAGGATATTAGCGTGCTTTTAGTAATAATACCACAAGTGGTTGTATTTTCAGTGGTAATAGCACAAGTGATCGAATTCTTGTTTAGTATGTCAATTCATTTCTTCCCAAAACTGAATTGCTTCGAGAAAACACCACGACTCCTCAGGACGAGTTGTTCTTTCTAGAACCAACATATTGTGTGCTATCAGGGATAAAATTTAAAATCTTGGATCAGATGAAAAATAAATTGTTTGGAGGAATTGAAGCAGAAATTATTTCAATTGGGTAACTATTATACATTTAGGCTTTTGGTGAGCCATTTTTCAAATTATAACGGAACATTTCAGAAAGTTCGTAAGAAAAACTATAATAGTCTGTTTTTTTGTAGGTCCAACACCAGATTGGGTAGTAGGAATCAACGGATTGAATCTATGCCTGAAGGATTGTACTTGGAAAGAGAAATTAACTCTTGATCTCTTCCCATATGATGCCGGTACAGACAGTGGTATCACCTATATGGTAAGAAACCATTCTTCTGGCTTGAAGTGTTGTATGCATGAGGGGTGAATACCTGAAAGATCTATTGTGTCCACTTCACTGTATCCGATAAGGTCGTTTTTGGTATCTATAACTCTAGTTCAATATCTCCCAAAAATTTCAGGATACGAGGTGGTTCCAGTTCAAGGAGAATAAATACACAAGGAGTGTTCAATCGGGCGGCTGACCAATCAGGTTCCGCTGACTATGTCTCAATACTGTGACGTCAGTGGACATGTCATGGCTTCTCTTTTTTTATGTTTTGATTCTCTGTGTTGATTCATGTCAATTATCAATCTTGCTTCATAGTAATGATTTTCTCAGACTATGCTCAGAACTGTCTCAGAAGTATTATACACCTACTGACAGTACCTCTTCTGCAGTAAATTTTCTATTGGCCAAAAAAGTGTGTGGGGCACAGGTAGGTTAGAAACTATTTCAGTAAAAATCATACTCTAACAACTATGTTTTCTCAGTTTTCCATCTATCTGCAAATTTTGAATTCTGGAGAATAATAGAACAGAATGATTACTTCTTCGAATACCTACACGCAGATGTGTAACATCCAGATATAATTATAATTGGTTTTGACCCCTGAAAGCATATTGAAGAGAAAACAGACTTAACTTGCCTGACAAGAACATTCATGTTGATAAAAGATGAATATTCAAATCTGTGCCAGTCAACATATGCATTGAATATGAAGGGCCAACGAGTTTTGTCAAATTTTCACTCCTCTAGATGTCTCAAGAGGTGTCTCTAGCGCCTTCATTATGATTAAGAAGCTATAGAACGAGTGTTTGAAATTTTACTTGAGAAGAATCCAGTAAAATGAATGTTTCACCTCCTCGATTGACCTACAGACAGTATTTAAGTATTTGAAAGAAAAAACAGTGATTGAACCAGCTGTGAAATTATATGAGCTTGATGTGTTACCAAGATTCTGAATGATGTGCTTACAAATCGAGTTACAAATTATAAACTAAAAGTGATTTTTTGATTTTTGAGTAGTCAAAGCGAAGTTTATTACAGACAAGTCCTTAAATTGTGCTCATAGGAAGAAATAATGAAAGTGAATAGGACTTTCATGGTCAGAGAAGTTCACTTGTCCAGCCCTTAAGTAATATAAAATTGTATTCTCGATCTGTAATTATTATTGACAATACATCTTGGAACCTCATAATTTTTATTTTACGAATAGTCTCCACACAAATAAGATGAAAGGTATGGTGCATTGAATTTTGAATTAATCAATAATGATCCCCTGCATGCAACCCAGGTATTTGTAATTAAATGAATTATAATAAATAATTTAATTATTCCAAAGTTCCTGATTCCAAGAACAGATAAAGGTACAATTGAAAAACTTGTTTTTGCAAAAAAAAATAATGATTATAATATACTATTGCTACACGGACTATGACTTTTGTTGTTTGAAGTAGGTATATATACCTTTTGAATACAGGTAACTATAAAAATGGCATGTTCCATTATAACAGTACAATAATAAATTATCTAGGTTACCTGAAAACTCTTTATAGGTACTATTTTCTTGTAGTTAGTAGTTATCTTCTATGCTTCCTAAAACACCAAGATTATTGTATTCTAGTTCTCATTACTTTCAAACCTGAATTACATATACTCTCGTATTTTCTATGTTACTTTTGTAGGCTTCCTCTCCTCAGGCTCGTACTGAATCAAATAATTTACCCTGTGTGTTGCCAGGAAGTACTGTTCATGTATTTGCTATAAATATAAAATCTTCATGATTGTGTACAATGATTTCAGTAGGTAGGTATAAAGAATACTCTTGTTTCTGATATCTCCAGGACCAATAAGGTAGGTCCCTACCTATATTCTACGTTGATGTGGTGAGATAATTTCTAATATAATGAATATTTTGTAGTCGTTTGGTTCATTCGAAAATCGAAATCTCAGATGTTTTTATAATTTTTCAATAACTCTGATATTCATTTTGTTGTTCATTTTTGACAGTTTGACAGATATTCAGCAATAATCTGCATGCCATGGCGTGTGACGTCAGTGGACATGCGTTTTTTGCATCTCTTTTTGAAACAATTGCCTGCCATGCCAATTGAACACGCCCTGTCTCTATTTACTCTGCTTGGTTCCAGTTAGTGTAGCTTATCCTTTTATGTGCTCTTAGGTTTCTTGCCCTTGGGTTCTGTAGGGTTACACATTCCGTAAATATGTGAATAAGGGTTTCCTTCTCCTCCCCACAGAACTTGCATTCGTCTACCTCAACCATCAACTAAGCCGAGCTTCCTAAGATAATAACCATGTCCTATCAACTGGCAGTATCCCCTTCAGTATATTATGAAGCTTATTTTTCCTTAGGCTGACATATGGTATCTTAGCCTGTAGCAAACCCTTTTTCACTACCAACATGGCTTTCGTGATGTTACTCTCTAGCTCACCCAGACCTCTACCCGCGCGCAGATAATGCTTTGTCCCACCACTCCTAGATGTCAGGGTCGGTCTGATTTCGATGATTCTTTTATCAAGATATCTTATCGCAGGTGTAGGTGTAGCTGAAATTGGCATTCGGAATAACAGCGTTATCGGCATCGATAGCCAGGTGTATTTTTCCGCGAGTAATTATTACAATTTAGTAGCCTTAGGGCAAAGTGCTGGATTTAATACCAAGTATTGAAGCCCAGACCTGCCTGGTATTAGGTGAGTGAACAAAGTTTCATTTATTCGATTAAAATAGTGTAGCTTGGCTGTGGTCTTTTGAGGTTATGGCGGGAATGTAATTGTTGCATATTATTGTTATCAGCGATCAAATGTAGGAATATTTTTCTCTATTAGTTGTAGAGCACCGCGGATTGTATCTACCTTTGTGGCCAATAAAGCTCGAGAATCGTCAACAAAGTTGCCTAATTTCCACTTGTTGACTCAAACCCCCAAAACACCCTGAGATTACCTTCCTACGAGTCACAAGCCTGTCTGAGACCTTGAAGATTTTCTCAAAAGTCTAATATGTGTTTAGCTGTTCCTTCTCTAATTTCTTCTGATACAGTGCCTCTGATGATCCCGCAGAAGAATCCTGGCGCCATGAGGATGTTTGAGTTCTTTTCCTTCTTTTTCCTCTTGGACCGCACGAATAGAAATTCCTTGCGAGTTTGTCCGATACTTCAGTTCCTTCTACTCCAGAATGTCCCGGAAGCCATAAAAGGGTGACTGCATTTCTGTTGTCTAGCTCGTTCAGTTTTTCCCCCAAACCATATTTGGGCTGATAAACATAGAGCTAGCTCAACGCTTTAATGGCTGCTTGACTATCGAGCACGATAATGGTATCTCATCTTTCATAGCTTTTTGCTAGATTGAACTTCCGCCTGAAATACCTGTGAATTTGCCAAGTCTTTCGAAGTACTTGATACGAGACCCGTAGACTCCTATTCCAGTTCCATCTTCGGTATTGGAGCCACCTGTGTACCAGTTTATGGCTTCTCCTCTCAATACCCCATGGATTCAATGTTCCATTTTTTTGCAGCTCAGCCTTGTCATTCCATTTTAGTATAGATGCATACCTACATGTTGGACTTGACCTTACGAATTCTTAGGCCGAAACTAGTTACACTACTGATATCAAATCATTTCTTCGTGGTCCACAGATTTCGGGACTTTAATTGTTTTTCTTATAAGAATTCTCAGAGTTTGAATGGTGAAGTCCTAGAAGCAATTATTATTGCTGATACTCACAAATGATCGTCTATTTCAGTCTCCGAATGCTGAGACTGCTCCAAGAGAAAGAATGTATCGCATCACCACCACCTACCCAGAAGATCCCAGAGCTCCGTTCTATGATCCATCTAGACGTGAGATGCCTGCGCTAGCAAGATTGTATCTCACCAGAGAGAAAGTGATACCCAGAAATTGCGACGATAGCTTCCTGAGCGCTCAGGTAGACGTTAGCGAAAACACCGAAGATACATCAAGGCGTAAGTTGAGCCAAGAGGTACCCTATTTTTCCCATCTTTGTTTATTCTTAGCTGAACTGGTTCCTGGATGAGTTCGTCCTGAATATAGGTACTATAGAAAACGTAATGATACATGTTTTCCTTCCATCAGCCAACTGTGTTGCTCCACCAATCGAGTTGAGTATGCCTAGTGCTTTTTTGTGAACCTGTTTTTATTTACTTTCTGCAGTTATGAGTTCTTGGGGATACTTATTCCTTCGCTTAAGAATTAAAAAGCATTGCCGTTCTGTAAAGAAACATGTTTTGGTAGAACTATATGTTCGATGTATCTCGAGGTTGACTAAGGAAGGATGTGCTGACCGGGCTTGTCCAGTTCGTCTAACTGGTATTGTCAGTGATGGGATATGGAGTAGGAAAACTGCTGGTGCCGAAAATGAAGTACCAAACTCTGCAAATGATTGACGACTAGCTTGGATGGTATCTAACTGCAAGAAGAATCTAAGGAACTCGCTGGAAGTGATTCAAAAAATGTTCCAGATCCAGAGCAGATACCAGAAGTATAAAAACGTGAAATAAGATCATTTGCGAAGAATCGGATCCTTAAAAAACACGAAAAATGCAAAGGCACCATGTTACAAACTAATTGGATACTTTATCATAGGCTTGTAATAGCTCGCAAGCCCATGACCAAAACAATGTCTCACAAACACACTGTATTGAGTTTGGTAAGACTAGTTCTCATCGAAGACCAACAAGTCAGAAGTACCTGTACAGAAAGGTGCTAAGTGAAGTTTATAGAGTGGGTATACCTCGAGTACAGAACTACTACAGGACCATATGCCATGATGCCACATAATGCCCATGTTGGATTGATACCACCTCCATCTCGATTCGTTCACACGCAATTAACTTCATTCATTTTAGAATGTGTAAGTCTTTTGTAAGGAAATTAAGGAATGTCTACACGTGCTCGGAAGGGCCTACTTCAATTTAGGTCATCTTTGGAACGGAACGAAAATATGAAGGAAAATGTGGGGCGATATATAAAGTATGGAAGGGCCTTTCGAACAATAAATCACTTTGTCCCAATATTGGGTTCAAAGAAGTTGTGAGTTGTCTCAGGTTTTTCGAATGAGTTATTTGTTTTTGTTTCAGCTGAATGTGAAGTAACCGAATATTCCGATTGGAACAGCTGTTCAGTAACTTGCGGAAAGGGCCTGAGAATGAGGAGTAGACAGTACAGATCACCAGAAAGGGCCAGGATGAGCAATTGTAATAGACAGCTAGTCTCTAAGGAAATGTGTGTGGCGAATATACCAGAATGCGACAAGTAAGGAATGCAATGATACTTTTTCTTACCACATAATTTTTCCTTCCAATCGGTACATAATCACAAAAAATATAATACATAGGCGATTGGACTAATTTTTTTAATTCTTAAATAGAATAATCACTAGAATATCTTTCAATTTCGTATATTTTTTAAAATTTTTGGTCGATTTCAAGGTGCTAAAATCATCCATAATGCCACGGTAAATTTCAAACCAAATTTACCGCGAGTAAATACTGACGTCACGATTCGTAAGCATGGACAGACCATAGCAGAGTTGCCATATGTTGAAATACGATTAGCAACTTCAGAAATATTGGTTATTCAATCATTCATAAATTCTCAATCATGTACCTATTGGTAATATTCCTAATTATCGAAAAAAAGTCGATTGTCTCAATAATAATAATAATAATAATCTTTTTATTGCGAAACGATCAACATGGACACAGCAAACGTCAGGGGTTACAGAACAATCTTAGCTACCTGTAGCATTTACATAATCTGTTTAAAATTACATTAAATATAATTTAAAAATACATAATTTCCTACATAGCATTTACATCATCTGTTTAAAATCACATTTTAAAAATACATAATTTCCTACATGTTATAGAATTCTACCTCCACATTTATTGAGTACATTTAACCCCTGTATATTATTGCTCATAATATACAGGGTGATCCACGGTGGATGGCCTATCAAGAGTATCTGGAGAACGAAGAGACATAACATTCTGAAAATTGGGATGCTCTGATAATCAAACATTCTCTATCCGTCTGAAATATTGTTATCGATACAGTGTTGCCACTTCTATCAGAAACAACTAGCAACTTCGTTATTTTGAATGGAACACCCTGTATTTTATTGTATTTTTTCGTTCTTCCTGAAGAGTTGATTTCATCAATGTATCACACTCAAGTCTAGCGGGAATGATTACAGAGAAATCGAGATTTTTAATTTTAAAATCGAAACTATTCATTATCGATCAAAACGGCTTACATGTCCCTCTCCTAACTTTCGATCCACTATCTACTGATATTTAATTGGAACAGATACAGGGTGTTCAGAATTCTAATCTTGAGGCACCATGTATTTTTTCCGCAAATAAAATTTTCCGAAATTCTGAAAAAAATCTTGCAAAATGGAGGCAGAAGGAGATGTACAGGGTGATTCACCATAAATGTCCCCTCCTCTAGCTCAGTTATCTTTGAACCGATTTCAAAATTTGAAATTTCATCTTGAATGATTTTCGATAAAGTTTTTTTCTGCTACATCAAAAAATACAGGGTGCTCGGAACAAACGATCTACAGGGTACTTTTTGATTTTTTTAAATGGAACACCCAATTCTTAATTGTATTTTCAGATTCTCCATGAAGAGCTGATTTGATCAATGCATCACACTTGGGGTCTAGCGGGAATGATTACAGAGGTATAGGGTGTTCAAAATCGAGATTTTCCAACTTTAGGATTTTTTTGTGACGAAACTATTTATTATCGGTCAAAACGGCTCTCATGTCCGTATCTTAACTTTTGATTTACTATCTACTGACATTTAATAATTGGAACAGATACAGAGTCATCAGGATTCTTAATCTTGAACCACCCTGTCAATGTTCCAATTAAATGTCAGTAGATAGTGAATTAAAAGTTGAGATGGAGGCATAGAAGCCGTTTTGACCAATAATGAATAGTTTCGACACAAAAAAATCCGAAAGTTGAAAAATCTCGATTTTGAACACCCTATATCTCTGTAGTCATTCCCGCTAGACCCCAAGTGTGATGTATTGATGAAATCAGCTCTTCAGGAAGAATCTGAATCTGAATTTTCTGATGCCACGGAAAAAAAATCTGAAAAATCATTTCAGATTATTTCTTAAATTTTTAAATCGATTCAAAAATAAGTGAGCTAGAGGGGGGGGGACATTTATGGTGAATCACCCTGTTCCCTAATATTTTAGTGACGAAACATCCAAGGACTCCCAAGAAATCGACTCGCTGGGAGACAACACCGGTATTTGTGCAGTCACCGACTGGAGTGGATGGTCATCGTGTTCTGAAAAATGTGGAGATGGAGTCAGAATGAGAACTCGCAAATTCATCAATAGACTGGGAATGAAGAAGTGCCCGCATATATCGATAAGTGAGTAACTTAATAGGATAAGTGAATTTTGTCCCAGCTCATTTTTGAACCTGAAGATGGCCTTATTGCGACATATGAGATCTAGAGTGCCTAGAAGATATGACGTTTGATGTTTTTTAAATAGTAAAGGACATACTTGTCATGCCTTGAAACAGCTGAAAAACATCCTATTTATGAAAGATGGAATGAGTTCTTCGATACTCCTTCATTGAACGATTGGAAATATATTGTTTTTACGGAAGTTTCACAGGAACTGTCTCAATCCTTTCTTTAATCAACCACTTTTGGACAGACGTGAATCGTATTGCGGTGATTAGCAGTCGCGATTGAGTTATTTACTACCGTTCCAATTTCTCGCTTTCCAGTCTCCCCAGTTGACAAAGAGGAATGCTCGATCAGAAAATGTTGGCCTGACGAGATTGGAACGGTCGATTCGCTAAGGACGAGGCTGCTGCTGGTGAGACTGCCACTGCAGTGCATCTCCCAGGTGGACATTTCTCTGTCATCAGCCCAATATCAGTCGAATCTCCATACTATCGAAAAGCTGTCCACTGCACTCAAACGACGAACATATCGTTTCTTGATTCGGCTCGAAGGACCAATTTGTTCGATGCTTGAGTGCACTGGATTGTATTTCGATACATTATCCAGTTTGAGTAGTCGCATCACCATGTATTTTCAATGAAAGAAGTTGTTACGTAGTGACAAGTCTTCAAGAGGAAACGGTTTAAAAATAATAAATGAGAAAATTGAAAAGAAAAGGAAGTATTCATATACATTTCTCAATCATCAATTCAACCTACTGTAGAAATCCACGTTGTCTGAAATCATCAATTCAATATCAATCAAATCATCATACTATGGAAATACAGTCAACTGCACTATAACATCGAACATATTGTTTCTTGATCCGGCTCGAAGGACCAATATGTTCGATGCTTGAGTGCAGGGGATTGTAGTTCGATACATCATCCAGTTTAAGTAGTCGAATCACCATGTATTTTTGATGGAAGAAGTTGTAACATTTTGAAAATAAGGGATAACAACATTGAGAAGAAGAGGAAGCATTTATATACATTTCTCAATCATCAATTCAATATCAATCGAATCATCATGCTATGGAAATACAGTCCACTGCACTCTAACATCGAACATATTATTTCTTGATCCGGCTCGAAGGACCAATATGTTCGATGCTTGAGTTTTTTTTTTATCGCTTGGAGCGCACGAAAGGGAATCCCTATAATGTTCAAAGGACATCGTGCGTTCCTAGGGAGGATATAGGGACAGGAGGTAGGTATTGGATTTTTTTTTTAACTTTTGGAGATTATATGTTGTTGGGAATACTTCCACAGGCAATGAATTCCAGAGCCTAGCCGTCCTATGGATGAAGGAGTCCTGATAAAGTGCTGTTCGACATCTTTCGAGGTTGACAACGAAAGGATGTGCTGACTGAGCTTGTCTAGTTCGTCTGATTGGTATTGCTAGTGAAGGGATGATAGCAGAGATTTCCGAAGAACATTTCCCATGGAAGTATCGATAGAAAAGTGAAAGGTCGCAGGGGATTGTGTTTCGATACATTATCCAGCTTGAGTATCAATATCAATCGAATCATCATACTAGTGAAATACTGTACCAAACTGTCCCTGGTAAAAAATACAAATCAACTGGACTATTTTTCCAGTTGACAAAGAAAAATGTTCGATCAGAACATGCCGCCCCGACGAGATCGAAACAGTCGATCCGGTGTGCCCCACCACCGATTGGAGCGATTGGAGCCCGTGCAGCGCTTCTTGCGGGCCCGGCATCAAGCTCCGGACGAGGCTGTTGCTGGTGAAGCCGCAGCTGCAGCAGCAGTGCAGCTCCAGGGTGGAGCTGATCCAGCAGCTGCCGTGCGAGGAGGTGGCCACCTGCTCCTTTGATATGAACATTGCGAAAGGTAATCACACATCGGTTGGTGCTAGAGTATGTTGGAATTTGAAAATGAAATGAAATGAAAACTACACTGTGAAGGCGTATTAGCGACACAATTCTTTCGATTTATTTTCGTCTTCTGATTACACGAGTGCTCTTTTGTTGACGTAAACTTGACATTCTGATGAGGATTTCGGTGCGTGAAAAATAAACGAAAAAAATGCCTTCGAAAAAATTACGAGTCCGTAGGAGTTAAATTGCCTGATGGCAACAATACTCGAATTATAATTTTTTTTTTTCTGCAACCGACACAAAAGTCGTCCATTTTGATACCAAAATTAGTTCTTAAATTGACGTTTCTATTACTGACACAAAAATAGGTATGTTGCTAGGCAACATATTTAGTTCCTAGGAGCTAAAGTTGAATTTTAGTTCCTAGGAGCTAAAGTTGAACTTTAGCTCCTAGGAACTAAAAAGGATCTACTGGACGTCATCTAGAATAAACAAAATTGTGACGGTTGGTTATTTGGGTTGAGACGCATACCTGATTTGTTTCCGATTTCAGCAGATTTGGCATTTCATACCCATGCTGGAGATATAAATTCACCTTTATTATAGTTTAGTATTGGAATTATAAACATCTCAGTTAAGTATTTTTGTTTTGATCAGGGAAGCCTTCAAGATTCAAATACTTGCTTGATCTGTATTTCATTCGTTATTCTCGGGATGGATAACTTGTTTTTGAATAATCACGGCAAGCAATAGTTTTTTTGTCTCAAACAACGATATTGTTTAGCTTCATTTTGATCCTCAAGTCAAACACAAGTATGGAGAGGAATAAATAATCACTATTATCATTGTTGATATGCTCACTAACCCAACATTTTCCACGTCTTGTTATAGCTGGCACTGGCACGGTATTTGCCATTAGAGCACCTGGTCCATACACAAATATGTCACTCTGTGGTTGTATTTATATTGAAACTACAATTCGAACATCCTGGAAAACCTAACCTGCCGTTAATGCAGGTAGAATATTCTCACCACATGGATTATTTGTCGATATTTGTTGCATTGCATACATATGGCACGGCATTGGTGGTTACTTCACATGTTTATTTGAGTTAATTGTTTCGGTTGCAAAAAAAATAGCATGTTTCATTCGGATCAAAAGTGACTTTGTTCGACTCGCAAATTTTGCTTTCGCTCGGCTTCGCTAAGCGCTCCGCCTCGCAAATGCAAAATTCGCTTGTCAAACAAAGTGTCACTTTTTATCCTAATAAAACAATCTACTATTTCTGCGATTCAAAAAAAAAGAGCGAGTGTAACTCGGTTAGACAGTTCAATGAATACGTAAATTACACTATTGTTGATGGTTTTCCAATTTATCCACTTTGAGGCTCCCCAAATCGCGACATTACCACAGTTTAGATATAGTTTTCTGACAACTTGAGATGTTAGGTTCCACTTCCTCGCTGGAAAACTTAGGACAAAGTTTTCTTGCTGTCATAATGACAAATCACAGCGGATCATGGGATTTTTGAAACATGAATCAAATTGTTATCGAAATCCCGATATTTTGGGATGTCCGAGATTTTCTCCCAAACATTTTATTTTATTTATTTATTTTTCTTATGACAGTATGGATGAATATATGGTCGCAAATTTTGCTTTTGCTCGGCTTCGCTAGACGCTCTGTCTCGAAAATGCAAAATTCGCTTGTCAAATAAAGTGACACCTTTGATCCTAATGAATCAATCTACTATTGTTGATATCTTCTGTTTATTTTGCTAGTGGTATGTATGCAAGATGGCGATCCTGGACCTTGCCAGGGATACTTCAACAGATGGTTCTTCGACTCTACAACCCAAAGATGTCAACCGTTCATTTATGGGGGATGCAGAGGCAATCGCAATAACTTCTTCACCGGAGAACAATGCATGGCTACATGTAGAGTAGTTAAAGGTAAGAGCCTACGGGCCCGAAGTGAAACTAATTGGTGATCCCTGATCTATACCTTAGAGAATCAGAAAATCTGTAAGTGGTTCAAATAACCACTGACCTTATTCATATTAATCACCCGAATGACAGTTGTTATGATAACCACGCTCTTGGTGAATTGGACCGATTATGATACATCTCGTCTACTATAACTAGCAAACTAGGTCATGCAATACTATTCTGATGATGTGGCTCATTGTTGATTACATTCCAGATGCCATTCAAGGTAGAATATCAACAACTCCCGCTTACACCGTTCCCACAGACTGCGTCCTCACCGAGTGGTCGGAATGGTCTTCTTGCAGCACAACCTGTGGTCGCGGGTACAAGGAGAGATCCAGGTCGGTCAGGATTCCAGCTCAGAACGGAGGAAGATGTCCTACCAATCTGTTGCAGAGGAGGGGGTGCTTCAGTAGGGCCTGTTTTTAGTCGAAACAATAAAAAGTTTGTTACATAAGCAGTTATTATGCATATAGATTCGATTAGTAAAATTGAACCATGAATTTACGATATAGCTCAAGATGAATATTTGTGTTTCATTTTTCATGGATCGTTTCTTGCATGAACCATGGAAATAGTTCTCAAAGTGGTTCAAAGCTACTTCTTTCTGAACATTCCTTCGTGGAGAGATTAATATAATAAAACACAATATCTGGATGACCAATATATTTTAAAACACATCATGAAAATATATGTTGAATCTTGCACCAAATTCATATTTACTGTCATTATCAGTTGACCTTTAGATCCTCCTATAAACTAATCCCTTAATTTCTTCGGACAGTATTAATTTAGAATTACAAAACTTTTCAGGCATTTGAACATTGATATCTTGAAACCAAAACAAACAATTATTTCAACTATTTTCCTATTACATCCTCCGATATCTATGCAAGACGAATATAGCTGCAAGTGATTCTTTCCTATATTTGGTATTCTTATTACGAAAACAATAATTCAATCTCCAAGATTTTGACAAGCTGTCATTTCGTTATCGATGAAAATAATGAGGCGAAATTATAGAGGTATGGCATGTTCCCTTTTCCCTATGCAAATTTTGAGGGTTGTTAACCCCCCACCCTCCACCTACAGGGTTACGCTTACGAGTTATCTCGATTGGTTTTTGTTTCAAAATAAAAGTGAGAATCGCGATTACATCGGATAAAATAAGAATATTGTCATTGACTTATTGTTATAATCTGACGACTCCGAAACATATGTCTTTCTGAATAAGGTTGTGGAGACTATACCTACTTAGAATCAATATTGTCAGTAAAAACTGACCATCAATTTGGAAATATACCGGCACTGGTGTGTGTAAGCAAAAGCAACAGATCAACTAGGGTTCCTCAAAATTAATCATCGTGTGCAAAATAAACTGAATGAGATAGGTATGTAACATGCTGGGAGGTAGACCAAACAGCGAAGTTAATTATCCGTAGCGTTAATCAAAGTTTGGTTATTTCGGCTCTCGTAGAGCCGCAGCAATAAAACAGGAAAGTAAAGAAAGAGTTCGCAGTGGCAACCGGAACGGTTTGTGGTCATACTAACCATTATTTATTCTCTAGTACTTAATTGCTTGCTCAGATCCCTATTGCGATTGCCAGGAAATACTTTGATTGGCAAAATAATGGTATTTTTATAGCGTTACTCGTTACTTATCGAAGTCACAAGAGAGGATTATCATATTCTTAAATAAATGGGAGTCATACGGATTACCAAAACTTGACTATACCAGATGTTACTGAATTACATGCTAATTTGAGGAAAAAACCTCCATGATATGCATGTCGTGAAAGTCGAAACTTTTGACTTGAGACACAGGATGTCAAAGTTGAAGATATGCGTGGATTATTGTTTTATCCTCCCTGTATAGCTTCTCGTAATGGCAGAATTTAGTCTGTATATGACTCGAATAGTGCAAAAAAATCAGAATGCTACATGTTATGGTTATCCAGTAATCTGAACGAATATTTTGAAGTAAGAACTTCTTTTTTTCTATCATATAACCTATTTGTGAGAGATATTCCCATATCACTGATACGAATGATTTCTTTTTTGGAAATTCCAAGCTCATCAAGATCAGAGTTCATACAATTATACTTCTCCTATACATATCAATTCTAATTTCAATATTGAACATATTTGTAAGTTATATTTTCATATCATAATATATCATATTATTCTATTCGATTTGAGAGATAATGTAAATTCTTAATTTCAGAGGATTTTGATTTTTCATGCTCTCTTTTTGAATATTCAACAAATTTAATTCAATGTTCGACGTGGCAAATAGCCATAGCTGCTGGCGAGCAGTGTTATCATTGGAGATGATCCCACTTGGTCCATGACTCCATGAGTGTATCATTTGTATCTTTCTGACAGTTGCAAATTTTTGAATCCTACCTCAATTATTTTTACAGAAGATACGGGGGTGTAACCATAAGAAATGTGACACACTGAATATATTTTTGCGAATATATCTGAAATTGTGGAAGGACAAGGTAGTAATATATATAGTTATTTGTGATGAGAACGCCTGGGACTATACAACTGTGCCAAAATATACGGGGTGTTCCATTAGAAAAAACATAATTGGCTGCCGTATCTTTTCAACGTCACCCTGTATGAAATTTCTGATGACGCCAATGGATTCCACGCATCATACTGTATAAATATACGTTTGAATTTTTTTGATACCTCTCACCGTAAAGTAGTCAGAAAATAAAATCGAAACCGGCAAATTTTCAATTTCTCCATGTATCTCTAAAACGAATGAAGATATCGAAATTTTGATTGTGCCATTCGAGGTTTCTCCAAAATCGAACCCGGAACATGTATATCGGTTTTTAGATAACTCCTCTAGTTATTGAGATAGACGGTGAAAACGCCCAATTTTGCCCACCCTGTACCTATGACATGATCTTCCCATTTGAAATAATAAAACTAAAACTGTTCCTCTTATACGATGATCCACAGGGCTATCAGTCTATTTTTTCATAATTATTTCACTTAGTAGGCGGTTTACCTTGAAACGGTGTTAATGAACATAAAATAAAAGAGACTCAGTATAGAATTGGAAATAAAAGACAGTGATCGGGGAAAAAGAGAATAAAAGGTAGTCAAGGGGATTTAAAAAAAAAAGAAATAATAAACAAGTAGTGAAAAAGGGAATTAGAAAGGTGAACGGAAAAACAGTAAATTTCTTTGAGAATAGAGATATACGGAATAGTGAATTGATTGATAGTGTATATAAGAAAGGAGGTATCAGGGAGAGTAGCAGAGAAGGAGAATATTGTGAAGAAATAGTGCACAGAAGCAAGAAGATTGTAGGGAACGATGGAATCGGCAAGACACCAGGACACCAGGTATTTGGAACTATAGATAATTCATTTTTAAGAACGAGGAACGTTACATTGGCGCCCGAGAAAAAAAAAATAGATAAAATAGAGATTTTCTTAATCAGTGGAATTGGATTGTCGAATTTGAAGTGACACTGACAATTTAAAAATATATATATACGGTGGGTTAAAAAAAATATCAGATTTCGAATTCCTGGATAAGGATAAAACTGAGAATTATTAAAATTAAAGGACAATTAGGTTTGTTTACAGGGTAAACTAGGTATTATATTGAAATTTCCTATATTAATACATTTCATTGATTATAGATTTATAGCTGTTCTTTAACTTAGTAACTATTAGCTTCATTTGATATTGAATATATGTTATTGATATATGTTTCCCGCTAAGAAATTGATTTGAGTTATGATTTATGAGTTTATGAGTCAATGATTATTTCTTTTGTGAAAGTGCAAAGTTGAAGTGCTGTTTAGTTAGTGAGTGTTCCATTTCTGAATGTGTTAGTTTAAATAGTTAATTTGAGGTATATTTGAAGTGATTGTGTGATTATTGAAAATGGAAAATAATAGGGAACCTATAGCCGAGGTACATGCTGTTTCTGATTCTGAAGCCATTTCAACAGGAGCAGTACGAAGAAGAAATAGAAGTATAGAGAAGTATTTAAATAGATCTGGTGAAAATAGAAATCAAGGAGATTATAATTTGCCTGTGAGAATTGATTATGATGATTTAACCGAAGATAGAAGGCGAGTGGATAAAAATCGGTTCAGTGAATATGGCGCTGGACGAAATGTGGAAGTTCGAAGAGACATCGAGACGGATGGAAACAAATTTGAAAATTTGATGGAAAGATTTTTCACAAAATTCACTGATGTGATGAAGCCTGCGGTGAATGTATCACATTTACCGAATTTCGAAGGTAAATTAAGAGAAATGCCTACTGAATTTATAGAAGAATTAGAGTTTTGGTTCAGAGAACAAAACATTCCTGAAAAAGAAAAAATCATTTGGACAAAACGTAGCTTAAAGGGAGAGGCGAAGCTTTGGTTTGATTCTTTTTGTAAGGTGCAGGATTTTCAGCAGTTTAAAACGAAATTTTTGAGCCGATTTGGGAGGAATAAGAAAGAGATGTTGAAAGAAATTTTCAATGGTGACTATATGAAAGATGGAAAAGGAGAGACTTTGTCAAATTATTTTTTGAGAATTTGGAAGAAAGCTGAATACGTTGATTTCCTGAACAAAGAGGAATTGTTAGATGCAATTATTGAACACTACCCTAGAGACATAACTAGAATGTTGATTACCGCATATCCGAAAACAGCTGAAAATGTTTACCTAATTCTGGAACAATATGACAAAATTGAAGAAAGAAATCAGGATAGTTGGGATTCACATAGGGATGAGAGATTGTACAGGAATAGATACAACGAACGATCTGTTGGATTCAGGAATATGAATGATAATAGGAATTATTCACGAAATAATGGAAATGGGAATTTCAGAGGAAATCAAACTGAAGAATTTACCAATGATATGAGACAAAACAATTTCAGAAATAGGCAAGATAATACGAATGGTATACGAGATAAACAATATCAAGCGAATTGGAGAGAAGAAACCCAGGAAAATTGGCGGAAAACTGGAAGAGATCATTTATACAGTATACCTAGCGAGGCAGAAAAATCTGTAAGAGAAGTGAGGAATGAGTATGGACAAAAAAGAGATGTGAGAGTGAGAACAATGACTCAACAAGAAAATGTTGAGGAACAGGAAGCTCTCGATCAGCCGGAAAACTAGAAGTGGTGAGTCAAAATTGCTCCGAGGGCGCACCATTTGAGAGAGGAGCAATACAGGTGAGTGATGTTGATAAATTTATTGTGAGTGACACATTAGAAGAATTTCCTTGTGGTGTGTTAGCAAATGATAATAAAGATGTGAAATTGAATAAACATATTTCTAGGCCCTTCATTAAAGGAAAAATTTGTGAAAATATAATACCAGAAATTTTGATTGATAGTGGTTGTCAAATTTCAGCTATGTCGAAAGATTTTTATGAGCATCTGCTTA